TTAATTTTTTGCGATAACACCATATTGTTTTCCATAGTGGCTGCACCAGTCTGCATTCCCACCAGCAGTATACTAGAGTCCCCTTTTCTCCACACCCTCGCCAACACTTGTTGTTTGATGATTTGTTGATGGTGGCCATTCTGACAGGTGTGAGGTGATACCTCATTGTTGTTTTAATTTGCATCTCTCTGATGATTAGTGATGTTGAGCATTTTTTCATATGTCTCTTGGCCATTTGTATGTCCTGTTTGGAGAGGTGTCTATTTAGTTCCTCTGCCCATTTTTTAATTGGGTTCTTTGTCTTCCTTTTGTGGAGCTGTATGAGCACTCTATATATATTGGAAATTAACCCTTTATCTGAAATATCATTGGCAATTATGCTCTCCCATACAGTGGGTTGCTTTCCCATTTTGGTGGTGGTTTCTTTTGCTGTGCAGAAGCTTTTGAGTTTGATGTAGTCCCATGTGTTCATTTTCTCCTTTGTTTCTGTTGCCTTAGGTGATGTATCAGTGAAAATTCTGCTGCATATGATGTCTGAAATTTTGTTGCCTACAGTTTCTTCTAGGATTTTTTATGGATTCATGAGTCACATTTAAGTCTTTTATCCATTTTGAGTTTATTCTTGTGTATAGTGTAAGTTGATGGTCTAGTTTCATTTTTTTTGCATGTAGCTGTCCAATTTTCCCAACACCATTTATTAAAGAGGCTTTATTTTTTTTAATTATTTATTTATTTTTGTTACTGTTTCTCTTTTTTCCCCCATTGATACCCTCTTCCCCTTCCCTCCCACCCTGTCCCCAGTTTATGCTCTTGCCACCTTATACTCCACTGTATGCTCTCGCCACCTTTGTCAAATATTAATTGAGCATATTGTTTTGGGTCCATTTCTGGGTTCTCTGTTCTGTTCCATTGATCTATCTGCCTGTTCTTGTGCCAGTACCAGGCTGTTTTGATTACAGTCGCTTTGTAGTATAACCTGAAATCTGGTATTGTGATCCCTCCTACTTTGTTCTTCTTTTTCAAGATTGCTGTGGCTATTTGGGGTCTTTTTTGGTTACATATGAACTTTTGAAGTATTTGTTCTAGTTTTGTGAAGTATGTCATTGGTATTTTGATGGGGATTGCATTGAATCTATAGATTGCTTTGGGTATATAGACATTTTAATGATGTTAATTCTTCCAATCCATGGACAAGTTACGTACATCTACTTTTTTATATCTTCCTCTATTTCTTTTTTCAATGTTCTGTAGTTTTCTGTGAATAGGTCCTTTATTTCTTTGGTTAAGTTTATTCCTAGGTATCTTAATTTTTTTGCTGCAATGGTGAATGGGATTGTTTTTTAGTTTTTCTTTCTGTGAGTTCATCATTGGTGTATAAGAATGCCATCGATTTCTTGACGTTAATTTTGTATCCTGCTACTTTGCCAAATTCATTTATTAAGTCTAGTAGATTTTTGATGGAGTCTTTGGGGTTTTCTACATATAATATCATGTCATCTGCAAATAATGACAGCCTCACTTCCTCCTTTCCAATTTGGATCCCTTTTATTTTTTCTTCATGATTGCTTGACATGCCTTTATATATCCCCCTATACAAGTGGTTTTCCCCTTCAGTGGAGCAAGGACAGCCTGACAATCTGCATTAACATTCTTATAGTCCAATTGTAATAGCAATGTATCAACTGCTCCTGCATTATCTATCTATTTACTATGGCCGCGTGCAACCAATCATTGAAAGACACATAAGATTCCTGTGCTTCTTGCCTACTGGTAGCATAAGAGCCTGTCTTTCCTCCAGACTCTGGAATCCTTCGCCAAGCTTTAGTAGCTATATCTGAGGCCTGATAAAACAATCTAGCATCTTGCCTTGCCTGTACTTGGGGATCTAAATAGTTTCCTTGTCCTAGTAACGTGTATGGTCCAATAGGAATCTCTGTTCCAAAATTTTCCAATGCCTTTTGTGTGGCTCTCTCCTGATATTCTAACTTCTACATGGTGAATGGGGCCAGCATCAACACAGTTTTTGCTAGCACCGTCCAATCCCAAGGAATCATCAGATAACTGACTACCAGCTATTCCCTCCAACATTCCTATAGTAAAGGAACTTTGCAAACCATTCTCCTTTATACTTTGCCTGGATTCTTTAAAAACCTGATAGGGCAAACATTCATGCACAGGTCGTTGACCTGGCCGCATTATTAGCTGGGAAAGCCCCAAGGTTGCCCGCTCTCCTGGCCTCTATAAGACAGCCCTCCATGGTTGGGTGTGGTGAGGCTAAGAAATTCTCCACAAAAGGAGGAGGAGGGGAAGGAAAACTTGCCTCCTTTGGCAACCATGCGGGGGCAGTCAGCTCTGGAGTATCCTCCGAAGGGGGACTGATCTCCTGGGCCAGCTGCTGCAATGCTGTAAATACTGACCCCATGCTGTCTTACTGAAAACCCCTCACAACACTAGATATGCTGGCAGCTGTCCCAAGCCGAGCACCACTGGCTCGAGAAAACTCTTTCTCAAGTGAAGTTTACTTTGGATCCGGATTGCTACTTCCCTTTTGTATACCGTTACGTTGCTGGTCATGTTCAATCTCCCCACTGCATGTCTGAGTCATGTCGAGGTCAGCGCCTGCCGGGATCGGTGCAGCTCAATGAAACTACTAGCACAGGCTGCTTGGAGGGAGAGGCAGATTTGCAAGAGAGCAAATCTCTAGATCTCTGGATGCAGTCCCATTTATTTGCAGATTGGTACCCCCAGGTTAACATTATTTCCTTGCTACAAAACGTCCACCTTCCAACCCCAACCCCACACTGGCACTGCCCAAAAAGCCCTTTAAAGAATTGAGTAATGGTTTACTTAAGTGAGCCTGTTGTTCTCTTTGGGGCTGACTGATAACCTGGAAAAGTTTTTTTTGGTTGTTTAATAAAAATATGTCCTGAGTTTCCCTTTGTGCATATTCCTGTGCTGGAGGAAATAGTACGCAAGGGAGATAATGCTGCTGAAATTTAAGAAAATTTGTGGTGCTAGTGAAGAGACAGTGTTATGCACATAGCAGGAGTTTAATGAAAAGAGTGCAAAGTAAGTTTATAATGACTTATAAAGAAGCCATTAGAATTAGATAGGCATAATTGGACCAGGGATGTTCTTTTTAGAGATCAGTTTTTCTTTAATATTCAAGTGTTTGATGGGCAGTGTACTATATTAAGCCCCCTGAAGGGATGTGATGATGAATAAGCATATGTTCAAGTTAAGGATGGTCTTGCTGAGAATATGAGGCATGCATAAGAAATCACAGTACAGACCACCATGGTAGTTAAGAGCCAGGACTCTGGATACTGTTGGCTCCTCCACTGACTGGCTGTGGAACCTTAGATAAATTAACTTATGTAAGTCTTAGTCTTCTCATTACTCGAATGAGGATAATGATAGCTCCTAGCTCAGGGGGTCAAGGATTAAATGAAATAAATCACGGTACATTATAAATATTCAATGAACATTGACTTTTATAAATCATTCTGGAGGCTTTAAGTCTATCTCCAGTGGTTTTCTGTCTTCCTAATGCCATGACCCTTTAATATAGTTCTTCATGTTGTGGGGACCCCAACCATAAAATTATTTTTATTGCTACTTCATAACTGTAATTTTGCTACTGTTAGGTCTTAGGCGACCCCTGTGAAAGGTCGTTTGACCACCAAAGGGGTCACAACCCACAGGTTGAGAACCGCTGATCTAGACAGGTCATATTCCTACAACTATGATAGGCCACACTTGGCAATGACTTTACTAAATTAGAGGGACACAAATCAGGAAACACAGCATGCTAGCAGAATAGCAGCAGGTGGTTTTCTTCAGTGAGAGTCTTCATAGCAGTTTCCACTGCTATTCTCTGGAGACTCAAAGACTAGCTTAGGTGTGATGGAATGAGACCATGTGGATGGGTGCATAGAAGCCCCTGCCCCAGCTAAAAACTGGTATCTCTTATAACAGCCCTGCAGGCATAACTTCCAGGCCCTGCAAGGGACATGACCTGTTATCAGATTTACTACACCCAAGGAAGCCCAATGCTGTGGCTTACCCCCAGGTATTTATAGCTTATTCACAGTTTTCTTAATACAAATCTGTTTCCAATCAGGGATCCTTCCTAACGTAAGCGATGTTACTTGGTAACTCAGATAACATTCTAATTTTATCAAGATCCTGGGAAAGTACTAGAAAGTTAACCCAAGGTCAACATTGTCCATAGAGAAGGAAAAGGAATATGTTAACTCATAAGCTAAAATAGCTCAGTCCACAAAGCCTTGGTCTAATGAAAGACCAAAGCTAGATTGTGAAAGACCACATAAGTTATGAAATTACTTAAGAAGGAGACTGACATGACATTATATTTGTACCTGACATATATAACTGCCAGTAGCTAAATGTTATTGGGATAAGAATGAGAGGAAATTGGAGATGTTCAAAATAGGGTATTATAGTGATCTAGGTAAAAATGACTACTTATACTAAAATTGTTTAGGAGGAAACATATGCAAGATTTTTGGCTTGGTGACTTACTGGTGCAATATGGACTGCTTTAATATATGGGTCATAATATGGAAAGATTTACTATGATGGTTAGAGTTAATTAAGATCTTTATAATTATTAGAATTCTAAGACCAGGAAGCCTGGCCTCCATGTTTAGTCCACAGTACGAAGAAAGAGTCTGAGTATTTACTAGTCATGGAAATGGGAAAAATTTCTAGTTTGGCTGAATGATTCAGGGCATACCTTTGGGTTTACCAACAAAAGGTTTTGGTGAGTTTCAGTGATGTGATGAAAATATGATTGTTGTTGGTTGAACAATGAATGAGGCACGAGGACGTGGAGACAAGGCTCTTTGAAGAGGTTTAGCTGAGTGAAGAAGGGGTGGACAAAAAGCAAGCGTTGGTATTTTTTAAATGAACTGATTATCAACACAATGTACTCTTTGTTGTAGAAAGCGTGTTCATTGCTGATTTTTTCCCTCCAGAAATAGCAGTAATCCAACTGGATCAATTGAGCCCAGAAGAACAGCTGCTGGTTAAGTGTGCTGCAGTCATTGGTCACTCCTTCCACATAGGTCTGCTACAGCACCTGCTGCCTGGCTGGGGTAAACATAAGCTACTGCGGGTGCTGAGGGCTCTTGTGGACATACACGTGTTCCGCTGGTGCAACAAGAGCCAGGAGCTTCCTGTTGAGCCAAAATTAATGCCTTTTTCTATTGAGATCATTGGAAAAACCAAAGCGGAAAAGAAAAAGTCGGGTGAGGAAGAGCTGCTCCCTTGTTCTCAAGCCTGAAGAGAGAGCCTTGGGGGAGGGGGGGTCTGTGAGACAGAACTTCAATATCATATATCAAGGGCCTCATTCTCTTAAAGCGTATAGCTAAGAAATGGGGGAAACAAGTATTCTAATCACGAAAGCATCATAGTTATATTGAATAGCTGTATTTTCAGAATTGTCTTAATTTCAAGAATTCTGTCTCCTTGTGTTTTGATGTTTGGTTAAGAAAATATTGCCGTAATCCTTTATTGGCTTCTAGGTATAGATAATAAGAAAGAAGGATAAGCTATTTCTCATTTTAGAAATTCACAAAGAAGATAAATATATATGGTACTGAATCAGATCTTCTCAGATTCTCCACATGAAAGAATAAAATTGTGGCATAGAATACTCAAAATATGTATAATCCACAGATAATTTCCTTTTGACTTTGTAAAGGTTGGGTTCTTATATCTATACAGAGCATTTCTGATGATTTGACATTTATAATAACTTGTAGCACAAAAACTCATCTTAGGAGAAACAACTAAGAAATCTACCCAACTGTACTTCTGTAGTCCTGATCATTCCTTCTTCATGGTACTTTATACTAGATATGATCACTATCATTCTCAGATTGGTATAAATTCTTTGTACAAAGTAGGCAGTAATACAAAGTGGGAATTGTAAATAAAAATTTTTTTTTTTAATTTAGCACTTAGGAGTTTGTTACGTGGTAGCATACAAAGACTTCAAGGGAGATTCTGACAGATTTTTCTGTATTTCAGGTGCTGGCTCTCCTCTCGAGCTGAACGAGGAACTGTTCCTACCTCAACCTGAGGTGCTAGAATTTGGAGTGCCTCTGTTACGGGCAGCTGCTTGGGAGCTGTGGCCCAAGGTGCAGCAGATTGCCCTGCATCTCAAATGTGCCTGGTTTCTCCAACCCTTGGCCTGCCGCTGTGGGAGCTGTCAGCGCGGGGACTTTGTCCCCTTCCACCGTTTTGCCATCTGTCCTATTAAAAGCTCCAGAGGAACATTCCGATTCTGTAGTTACAGAGATACTGGCTCTGTGCTAACACAAGTGACCACAGACAAATTGCAGCTGCCTTTGCCCAAAGGTAAACCCAGGGAGGCAGAAAGAGGACATATGGACAGCACCTCTCTTTATTCATAAACTTGGAGCTCCCTATCCAAAAGGTGAAATCACATTAAGGGAGAAAAATAGGTGGAAAGAGCCATTTATTCCTGAAGTACCAGAGATAAGAAAAATGTAATCTCCAAGTTAAAAGCAACATTAGAGATCATACTTGTTTTGGTTGGCAATCTTGGGCAAGTTCCTTAACCTCAATTAACTGAGACAAATAACAATATCACCTTTATAGGGTTGTTGTGAGGATTAAATGAATTAAAATGTATAACGTGCCCTGAATAGTGCCAGGCACATCGTTAGTACACAACACATCTTAATTATTGTTTTTTATTGTTATAATTAATTATTCAGCTCAGCACACATATGTTGGATCTATGTGTAACAAATGCTGTTGAGAATACAAAATGAATGAGCCTTGGTCCCTAAAATGATCAGTTTTGGGGGGTGATAGAGACATATAGAGAACTCCAACAGCATGGAAAACTAGATGAACATGGCATGCATAGGGGTGGATATCATTATCCAGCCTGAGGAGTGAGGAGGAGAAGACTCGTTTTTGGAGGAGATACTGCCAGAAGTTAGACTTGAAGGATAAGTAGGAGTCAGCTGCTTGAGGAAGGTTGGATTAGTGGATAGATGGTCCCCAAAGCCTGTGACCCTTCTCCACACCCCAGATAAGAGTTCACTCATCTTTGTTTTAACATTTTCACTTAGTTTACCTTACAGGACATCTTGTGTCATTGCCAACAGCTATTAGGAAATTTCTTCTTTTATCAGTGTGAAGTCTACCTTTTTCTCACCCATTTTGCAGAGTTGTGCCTTCTTCTGTAGTTGAAAACAGCTGTGAAGACCCAACCATTCTTCTCTTTTTCGACTTTGATGGAAGAGAAGTTGGTATTGGTGTTGGCAGGGGTGAGGGATGTGAGAGAGATGGTGATGTATTGGTGGTAAAGGACTATAATGAAGGATTTGGTCCATGTTCCTAATACTTCTAACAGCTGTAACATTCTAATGACACTGAGAAGATAGACCAGTGACGGAGAAGTTGGTCATTGATGATGAACTGGAGGAGCATTTGTACTTGTGCACTTTCTGAGGGGAAAGAGGACAATAACCATGAATGTCTTAGTCGGGTGTTGTGATGAAGTTACGCGGTCATTCACCTTTCCTATATGGCCTTTGTTTTTAAGAGGTCAACATCAGCTTTAGATTAGACAGTCTAATTGGTCCCTGTGAGAGAGGCTCTAGACCAGTGGTTGTCAACCTTCCTAATGCCGCGACCCTTTAATACAGTTCCTCATGTTGTGGTGACCCCCAACCATAAAATTATTTTTGTTGCTACTTCATAACTGTTTTTTGCTACTGTTGTGTCTTAGGCGACCCCTGTGAAAGGGTCATTCTACCCCCAAAGGGGTTGCGACCCACCAGTTGAGAACTGCTGCTCTAGACCTTCCCGGCATAGCTGAACCCCAAGGAGGCCTCTGTGCACAGCCATGCAGACCAGGCCCTGCACAAATTGAGGGGGTGCTGTTCACACAGCTGTGAAGTGATGGTGCCCTGGGAATTGTGCAGGGCAGTAGTGCTGCCAAACTCCTGCGTTCTTAGTTACCTTATCCTTACCTGACCCTGTTTGACATCGTTAAATCATCAGAGAGCCAGTCCTTTTACTTGACACAAGTCCTCCCTGCAGCAGCTCTCTTAGACTCCTCCTTCCTTTCAGTCCCACCACCTGTGCCTCTGAGCGCTGACGTGTAACATGGCTACGCCAGTCCCAGTCTTTGCTTTTGACTTGAGAAGGCAGCTATAGAGGAAGAGGCAAATCTGGAGGATAAAGGCTATTTAAGGCCAACTAGGTCAAGTTGGAAACCTCTGCTGGCCACCGAGGCTCTAGTGCACTGTGGCATCTTGTGCCCTCATGATTTTCTCACTAGGTCTTAGGTTCTGTGGTTTTCTCTGCTCTGTTCACAAACCTAAAGGTCTAGAGTAGGGATTTCTACTATTAGAAGTAGCCATCAAACCAAATGGAAACTTTATTTATTTGCCAATATTGAGTGCCTCCTGCAAATTAGGAACTGGTTTGCAAGGTTTGTGAATGAAAGGAGTTACTATCTGAATCACAAATAGTTACCATTAAGGAATTTGCAATCTATCATCCAAATGTTGTGTTTAGGCAAATATTAAACCTAAACTAATCATTATTATAGTGGGAGGGGCAATTACATCATAAACTAAACTGCAGAGGAAAGGTAGTTAGGAATTTAAAATGTCCTCAGTTAATACAAACATGGATAATTAAAGGTAATCATCTTTTTCTCCCTACAGACAGTTTTCAGCTCCAGGAAAAACCATCCAGAAGTCGGGAGGCCTTCGCAAGTGAACACTGCAGGTAGATGGAGATGCTGGGAATGGGCATGAGGGGGCAGAGATGAGACACAGCCGACCATTAGACTGGGCACTCACATCACCTGCAGACCAGGAAGGCATCTGACCACCCAGGAGTATTGACTCTTTTACTCAGCCTAAAATTCAAGTTAATAGAGATTTGGAAAGGCAATTTTTTATTTTTTTGTAGAGAAATTATTTCTTAGTGGGTAAGAAAATCTTCAGTAGTTCTCAAATGCATTGTTCACATAGCAGTTTTGTTTTGTTTGTTTTTTTTTAGCTATAAATTTGCCTTCTCAATTACTTTTTACCACAGCTGATATTAAAATGAATTTACATTTCCCTATCTTCTGGCTTTCAAATGTCTGTCCATTGATTTTAAATGTCCCTACCTCAAGTTCACCAGCAAGGCTGTAGTTTTCTATCTCTTATTCAACTTGATATCCTATTTTCAAACAGAAATCTGTCTATATTTGACATGAATCACCTCCCTATACGCCTGTGTGTCTGGCTCACACAGTTCTCCTTTATAAAAATACTAAGTGGTCTCCACGTCCTCTACTTATCAGAATGTTCAGCATCCTTCAGAGCCCTCCTCAGTGCCCACTGTTTTTGATCATTCTGTCTCAAAGAGACCTGACCTCTTTTGAACTCATGGTACCTGTTGAAAGAGCACTGGACTGGTGGTCAGAGAGATGATCTCTAGTTCTGATTCTACTCAAGAGCTGCAAGGCCATATGGAAGTCACTAAGCTGTCTGAGTCTCAGTGTCTTCATCTGCAAAAGGATGGTACCATTTGCCTGCTGGAATGACAGGGTTGTTGTAGGGTAAGATGGTGGTGTGTATAAAACAATACTCAAATGTGCTATGACAAAGTTCAAATATGTTAATAGATAAATGCAGTGTAACTTACTGCTTTGTATCACTTTTACTTTTTTAAAAATTTAATTAATTAATTTATTTTTGTTACAGATGTTTCTCCTTTTTCCCCCACTGAGTCCCCCCACCCACTCCCTCCCCACCCTGTCCCCAGCTTTGTTGTCCATGTCCATTGTTCATGCATACATGCATAAAAGTTCTGTGGTTTATCTCTCCCCCACCACCCCCTCTTCAGGGGATTGTCCGTCTGTACCCCATTTCCACGTCTCTGGGACTACCCCATTCCTCAGACTGTTATGTTCATTATATTCCACAAATAAGTGAGATCATATGATACTTGTCTTTCTCTGTTTGGCTTGTTTCGCTTAGGATAATACTTCTCAGGTCCTCCATGTCGTCTCAAAGGATAAGAGATCTTTCTTTCTTATAGCTGCGTAGTACTCCATTGTGTATATGTACCGCTGCTTTTTTATCCATTCGTCTACTGATAGACATTTGGGCTGTTTCCAGATCTTAGCTATTGTAAATAGTGCTGCTATGAACATGGGGGTACATATATTCTTTCTGATGGGTGTTTCAGGCTTCTTACGGTATATTCCTAGAAGTCGGATAACTGGGTCAAATGGAAGTTCAATTTTTAATTTTTTGAGATAACACCATATTGTTTTCCATAGTGGCTGCACCAGTCTGCATTCCCACCAGCAGTATACTAGAGTCCCCTTTTCTCCACACCCTCACCAACACTTGTTGTTTGATGATTTGTTGATGGCAGCCATTCTGATGGGTGTGAGGTGATACCTCATTATTGTTTTAATTTGCATCTCTCTGATGATTAGTGATGTTGAGCATTTTTTCATATGTCTCTTGGCCATTTGTATGTCCTGTTTGGAGAGGTGTCTATTTAGTTCTTCTGCCCATTTTTTAATTGGGTTTTTTGTCTTCCTTTTGTTTAGTTGTATGAGCACTCTATATATATATTGGAAATTAACCCTTTATCTGATATATCATTGGCAATTATGCTCTCCCATACAGTGGGTTGCTTTCCCATTTTGGTGGTTGTTTCTTTTGCAGTGCAGAAGCTTTTGAGTTTGATGTAGTCCCATGTGTTCATTTTCTCCTTTGTTTCTGTTGCCTTAGGTGATGTATCAGTGAAAATTCTGCTGCGTATAATGTCTGAAATTTTGTTACCTACAGTTTCTTCTAGGATTTTTTATGGATTCATGAGTCACATTTAAGTCTTTTATCCATTTTGAGTTTATTCTTGTGTATAGTGTAAGTTGATGGTCTAGTTTCATTTTTTTGCATGTAGCTGTCCAATTTTCCCAACACCATTTATTAAAGAGGCTGTCTTTACTCCAATGTATGCTCTTGCCACCTTTGTCAAATATAAATTGAGCATATTGTTTTGGGCCCATTTCTGGGTTCTCTGTTCTCTTCCACTGGTCTATCTGTCTGTTCTTGTGCCAGTACCAGGCTGTTTTGATTACAGTGGCTTTGTAGTATAACCCGAAATCTGGTAATGTGATCTCTCCTACTTTGTTCTTCTTTTTCAAGATTGCTGTGGCTATTCGAGGTCTTTTTTGGTTCCATATGAACTTTTGAAGTATTTGTTCTAGTTCTGTAAAGTATGTCATTGGTATTTTGATGGAGATTGCATTGAATCTATAGATTGCTTTGGGTAGTATGGACATTTTAATGATGTTAATTCTTCCAATCCATGAACAAGGCATGTGCTTCCACTTTTTATATCTTCCTCTATTTCTTTTTTCAATGACCTGTGTAGTTTTCTGCGAATAGGTCCTTTATTTCTTTGGTTAAGTTTATTCCTAGGTATCTTAATTTTTCTGCTGCAATGGTGAATGGGATTGTTTTTTAGTTTCTCTTTCTGTGAGTTCATCACTGGTGTATAAGAATGCCATCGATTTCTTGATGTTAATTTTGTATCCTGCTACTTTGCTAAATTCATTTATTAAGTCTAGTAAATTTTTGATGGAGTCTTTGGGGTTTTCTACGTATAGTATCATGTCATCTGCAAATAATGACACTTTTACTTCCTCCTTTCCAATTTGGATCCCTTTTATTTTTTCTTCCTGTCTGATTGCTGTGGCTAAGACTTCCAGTACTATGTTAAATAAGATTGGTGAAAGTGGGCATCCTTGTCTTGTTCCTGTTCTTAAGGGAAATGCTTTGAGTTTCTGCCCATTGAGTATGATGTTGGCTGTAGGTCTTTCATATATGGCCTTTATTATGTTGAGATATGATCCCTCTATTCCCACATTGCTGAGCATTTTTGCCAGAAATGGATGCTGGATTTTGTCAAAGGCTTTTTCGGCATCTATTGATATGATCATGTGGTTTTTATTCTTCATTTTATTTATGTGGTGTATCACATTTATTGATTTGCAAATATTATACCAGCCTTGCATCCCTGGGATGAATCCCACTTGGTCATGGTGAATAATTTTTTTTTGACGTATTGCTGGATCTGCTTTGCTAGTATTTTGTTCAGGATTTTGGCGTCTATGTTTATCAGGGATATTGGCCTGTAGTTTTCTTTCTTTGTAGTGTCTTTTTCTGGTTTTGGAATTAGAATTATGCTGGCCTCATAAAATGAATTTGGAAGTCTTCCTTCTTCTTGAATTTTTTGAACTAGTTTGAGGAGAATGGGCGTTAGTTCTTTTTTGAATGTTCGGTAAAACTCTCCCGTGAAGCCATCCGGGCCTGGGCTTTTGTTTGCTGGGAGAGTCTTGATTACATGTTCAATTTCCTTAGTTGTTATTGGTCTGGTCAAGTTTTCTATCTCTTCCTGGTCCAGTTTGGGAGACTATGTGTTTCTAGAAATTTGTCCATTTCTCTTAGATTATCTAATTTGTTGCCATATAATTGTTCATAATAGTTGTTAAGGATCTTTTGTATTTCTGTGGTGTCAGTTGTTAGTTCTCCTCTTTCATTTTTGATTTTGTGTATTTGGGTTCTCTCTCTTTGTTTCTTGGTAAGTCTAGCTAAGGGTCCATCAATCTTGTTTATCTTTTCGAAAAACCAGATCCTTTGAATTGTTTTTTTGGACTCTATGTCATTTATTTCTGCTCTGATATTTACTATTTCCTTCCTTCTACTTGCTCTGGCGTTTTCTTTTTGTTTGTTTTCTAGTTCTTTAAGTTGTGAGGTTAGATAGTCTATTAGAGGTTTTTCTTGTTTCTTGAGGTAGGCCTGTAGTGCTATGAACTTCCCTCTCAGAACTGCTTTCGCTGCATCCCATAGATTTTGTGTTGTTGTGTGTTCATACTTTTAGGTTTTTATTTAACACAATGTTAGTTTACTCTTTAGGTGTGGCCATTTCTCCATTTAGTTTGTGAGGTACTTAGATTGGCTTTGAGTTTTTAAAAATTTGTAATGGGGCTTTGACATCATAGATTAGGTCCATGACTTTCAAAAAATGTATGGACTAATAGAGAGGGTGGACATAGAATTAATGAGTTATAAAGGAAAGCTACCTGGGAATGTGGCTTAAAGACCTGATAATGCCCCGACGAGAAAGTGGCTGCTGCCTGGCCACTGTCATTTTTTCATCTTCTCTCCACCAAGAACAGAGGAGGAGTTCCTGGATCAAGTGAGCAGGAAGCTGGCTCAGACCAGCCCAGAGAAAGATGTACTGACCACGAAGCCCTGTCACTGTGAGGAAATCCTGAAACTTGTGCTCTGGCCCCTCACCCAGCACTGCCTGATCACCGGAGAAAACGCCTGTGCCTTCTATTACCTGCTGGAGGCAGCCGCTGCTTCCCTGGATCTGTCAGATAATTACATGGTGAGCAAGCCCTGCTCTGTGCGCCCCAGCTGAGCCCTTTCACGTGGGGGATTCAGCTGGATTTCTTACTATCAATTTGCCTGGAGAGAAAAGTGGAAGAAAGTGGGAGGGAAAAAGGATCTGGAAGGGGTTTAGGAGACCACAGGAGTGGGAATGCGGCAGTGAGAGAGCACCAGGCTGCCAGCCTGCCCCTGCCCTGCCCTGCCGTGCAGTCCAGCTCCTGGCTCCCGTTTCTACCTCCCAGTCCAACTGATTAAGTGCAGATCTCCACCCTCCTCATATCCTTACTCCAGCCTGCGCCCATGTGGCACTGCCAGCACCATGGCGATCCTAATTCAGTTTCTCCTTCCTTTGTCTGGGTTGGAGGCCTTCTTTTATTTGAGGAAGGCAAGCAGTCTCCTGGGCCAGCCCTCAGCATTCTCGTTTTTGAAAAAGCGCAAGGTGAAGATCTGTCAGTTTCAGGAGGCCGCTTTCTGCCGTCTTCGATCAGAGGTGAGGCCGGGGTGACCGTGAAGTTTGGGTGTTTCTCTGTGAGGGTTACCCTATTATTTCTTTTCAAACCCCTTTGTGTATTTTGTGTGCATGTGTGAGTGTATGCACAGTTATAAATGTGATAATGTGACAAAAGGTGTAAAAATTCAAACAGAAAAATATATAATCTAAAAAGTGAAACAGCCTTCACTGATCCCCTGCGCCTCTGCAGACACCACTGCCGATGTGCACATAGTCAGGTCATTGTTGTGGGTCATTTTAAAAATAGAATTATATTCCTCATTCTCTTCTGTAGCTGACTTTTATTTTTCATGGTGCAGATTGAACGCATTTGCGTATTGGTACACCTCTGCTCACAGCTACAGCTACAGCTCCAAGCATCTCACAGTATGCGCGCATCAGTCTGCGTGACCACTCTGCTCTTCAGGTGCACGGTGGTGAATGTTCTTGGAGATACTAAGGCAGAGGATATGAAAGATTTTACATTTAGTAAATATATTGACAAATTGTCTACCAAAAATATTATATCAATTCAACTTTTTCACATTTCTTTGCATCCTTACCAACATCAGATATCATCAGTCTTTTTAAAACTTGCTAATGCATAGATGAAAGTTATGTTAACTAATATGGCACATTATTTTGGCATGTTTATTAGTCATTGATTTTTCTGTGAATTGCCCAGTCATGGGGATATAATGTACAGTGTAGTGAGTACAGTTAATAAAACTGTGTTGTATAATTGAAAATTGCTAAGAGAGTAGATCTCAAAAGTTCTCATCATAAGAAAAAAAGATTTGTAACTGTGTGGCGATGGACGTTAACTTATTATACAATTATTTTGCAATATATACATATAACGAATCATGTTGTACAACTAAAACTAATACAATGTTATATGTCAATTAGATCTCAATTTAAAAAATCACATTGCCCACATTAAACTTACACAATATCATGTGTCAGATATACCCAATAAAGCTAGAAGAAACAAAACAAAAACATACCGTTGAAAATTTCCCCAACCCTGTCACTCAGCCGCTGTGTGTCTTCCCCACCGGTAAGTATCTTTGTGTGTTCTACCAGGGGGCTCGGCATGCATCAAGGTGTATGAGGCTCCCCCTTCCTTTTTTATCTTGCTTTTAAAAAAATAATATTCTATAACATGTATAACAAATATTTTCAGGGAATGAGATTTGTGTAACAAAAAAAAAAACTCTGAGGAAATTACATTGTGAAATATTTCATTTTCAAAGGACAGATAGAAGTAAACTTGTTTATTGTTTATGAATAATTTAGGACAGCTGAGTGACTTCTCCCAGCCTTATGAGTGTTAAATCCAACAGACCATATGTGTTGGGATAATTATTTAGCAGTTCATAAATAATGGCTCCATAAAACCTCAAGGGATAGATGTCTTGTTAGAGAGCTGAGCTTCAATTTTTTTTTAATTAAAAATATAAAAACTAATTTCAATGTAAACCTTAAGATAATCTGGTTAAGAGAGTAAAGCTAATGTGTATAATGCCTTTGAATGCCAAAGGGAATATTAGAATTGTCCACAGTATTGCATTACTTGTATTTCAACCAAGAGGTCTTTGGAGCAAAGTTAAATAATATTTATTTTTCTTTTTTCTTTTAATCTTCACCTGAGGATATTTTTTCATTTATCTTCAAATAGAGTGGGAGGGAGGGAGAACGAGAGAGAAACAACGACATGAGAGGGACACATTGACTGGTGTATCCTGCAGTACCCCCGACCAGGGCCGGGGACGAACTGCAACCGAGGTACATGCCCTTGACTGGAATCGAACCCACAACTCTTTGATCTGCGGGCCAACACTCTAACCACTGAGAAAACTGGCCAGGGCACTTATTTCTCTCTTTATTTATTTTATTTTATTTTATTTTATTTTTGTTACAGATGTTTCTCCTTTTCCCCCCATTGACACCCTCCTCCCAATCCATTTCTTTTTCTTTATAAGAATTTATTTTGCAGTCTTCCCACAATTGTTCTGGAATCACCATAGACTTGACCACTCTCTCTGAGGGTTTAGCCTTAGAACGTGAAGGTATATGATAACCTCAGGTGGTCCCCGGTTCCCACCTCCACATTCACTACGGTCTCCAGCCTGTTTAGGGAGAGAGGTACAGGATATGGTGATGTTTCCAATGTTTTCCGTGGCATCTGAAGCACCTGTATTTCTGCCCAAATGACAATCCCACCTCAGTCTAGCAGCATCACTTTCTGAATCACAGCCTCTCTGTGCTCACTGACGAGTGTGTGGGAGATGAGCAAGGAGGGTGCTTTCTCCTTAACCCAGTTTTCTCACTCCTTGTCTACTCATGGCCCTACCGGTGCTCGTCAGTGTCGGGAGGCTCTGCTCCAGCTCAGCTCACTCACTTGAGCAGCTCAGTGGCCCTAAGTGCACATCCCCAAATAACAGAGCCAGCGTGCTAGGTCCAGGACCTTATCCAGAGTGCTCTTCCCACATTGACATGACTGTTTCTTATTTCCCCATGTCCAGGTCTGTTTCAACATGGGACAGATCACCTTGGCCAAAAAACTGGCTAGGCAAGCCCTTCATCTGCTGAAGAAGAATTTCCCTTGGACCTGGTTTGGTGTCCTTTTCCAAACATTCCTGGAAAAATATTGGCATCCCTGTTCCATGAGCCAACCTCCAGACAACCCTGATGAGAAGTGAGAAAGAAGCCTGGCCTAGTTGCCCTGGTCCCCCTTAGGGCCACAGAGAACTAAAGTAGGACCCAGCCTAGAGTTTTGCTATATTGACCTAAGACTGACTCCTCTTTTTAAGCATATCACAGACAGTTCTAGTTCTGCCTTACTTCCCCAGCCAATTAAATATAACAGAATGAGGACTTTTACTTCTGAAGTGTGGTGTTATCCTGTCTCTTCCAAATAAAGATAGGGGCGTGTATTTGTTGTGTGTGTGTACATGCATGGACATATAGATATATAAGTAGGTAGCAATTTAATACTTCTCTGATAAAAAATATTACATTGCTACCTAATTATTGAGCTATAATAATTTATAGAAAATATATTTAACCAAATTAGCAATTCAAAGAATAAACCTTTATAAAAGCCTTTCTGAACTTTTCCTGGTCAAGAGGGATGAATTAAAAGGGTCTATGGGGTTAGAAGTAGAGGGATCCCAGTAACACTTCTGAGTTTGGAAGTCCAGATGGCCCACCAATGAGCAGACTTGATTTCCTGTGCAGAGGGATGGTGGGCACTGGCGAAGCCTCAGGTACGCTAAGCATCGTGTGCTCCACAGCAGTAAGAAGAAGCTGGCAGTCCTGCAGCAGCGGGTGCACTGCCTCTCCCTGCTCTGGCAGCTCTATAACCTGGAGGCCACAGCCAGCAGCCGCAGGTTTGCCTGCCTGGCCACTCTGATGCAGAAGAATTCAGCTGAGGAGTTTGCGAATGAAGCCCAGGTAAACCGGTCCTTGCTTTACCTCCGGACTGCACCCAGAAACCTAAAAGGCTAGGGAGAGAGGGCTGCCAAGTCCCTGGGTTTGCATGGTTCCATGAGAACCCAGATTTAACAGGATACCACTAATCATGGTTTTGAGCAGGGTTTCTCAACTTGCAGTTTATAGATGGGTTTTCCAGGCATGAGACTGCCTGTGAACTCCCTGAACCAATGTAGAACTCTGTGTGTATATGTTCAAAAGAGCATTGTGGAAATGATGGGAGGTTGGGAAGGGGTCATAGCTTTCATCAGATTCTCAAAGAAGCTCATGATCTAAAAAGAGGATTTGAATTGCTGACTTAGAACAAAAGAAGGAAGAGAAATGTGTCTTCCTAATTTTAGTGTCTCTTTCTCTCTCTCTCTTTCTCTTACATTTGGTCAAGAAGTATTTGATTAAATGAACACCCATTATATGCCAGGCACTGATCTTGGTTCCAGGGAAATAGATAATAGATAAGTGAATATACAGTATGTTAGGTGACAAAAAATGCCATGGAGAAAAATTAAGTGGAGGCAGGGAAATGTGGGTTCTAGGAGCTGTTGGGTGCAGTTTTAAACAAGGTGGTCAGGGAAAGTCTCACTGAGCAGGTGACATTTGGGCAAATATCTGAAGGAGGTAAGAAGGGAAGCCACATGCTATCTGGGAGAAGCGTGTACTAACAGAGGCACAGTGAGCACATAAGGCATGCCCCTGTGTCTGAGGGACAGCGAGGAGGCCAGCGTGGCTAGAGAGGAAGGAAGGGAAGAGAGAGGCAGGAGATGACTCAGAGGGAAGGGTGGATGGCAGACCATTCAAGCCCTTTAGACCACTATGGAGGTTCAGCCTTTACTCTAAAGAAGACGGGAAGCCTTTAGTGGGTCCTTAGAAGAGGAATACCAGGTCTCCTTACATGTCAATAAGATTATTCTGGCTGCTGTATTGAGCATGAACTGAAGGGGGCAAGAGATGAAGCAGGGAGACCAGTCAGGAGGCTATAACAGTAATACAGGCAGGAGGTGCTTGGCTTGGACTGTGGGGGCAGAGGAGGTGGGGAGGAGCGGGCCTCTGTCAGGAGAGAGCTGGCAGGACTCACTCTCAGATTAATTCCGGACGTGAGAGAGAGACAAGTCAGGGATAATCCCAGGCCTTGCAATGTGGACTTCTAGAGGAATAGAGATGCCCTTAATTGGGAGGGGAAGTCTGTAGAAGGAACAGATTTGGGGGAAGATTGGCCACAAGGTTTTGGACAGGTATAATTTGAGATGCCTATTAGACATCCAGGCGGAGATGTTGAGTAGCACATGACTATCCAAGTGTGGGGTTCATGAGAGAGGTCTGGGCTGCAAATGGAAATATGGAATCATCAGTGTGTAACTGGTATTTGAAGCCATGCAACTCGGTGAGATCATCAAAAGAATGAGTAAAGGTCCAAGGACTGAGTTAGTAGCTTTGTGTTAAGGGGTCAGGGTCATAGGAGAAACCAGCACAAGAACCTGAGAAGTGCCAGAGAAACGGGAGAAAAACCAAGAGAACGTGGTGTCCCGGAAACCTACTGAAGACTGTTGTGAGAAGCGTCAACTACGTCAAATGTGTACATAGTTATAGCAGGGATCTAGCAGCAGTTCTGAAGTTCTCTAAGGAACCGGAACCAGAGACCCTAATTAGAGGCAACACAGATGAGGTTTGGCTAGTGTTTTGAAAGGGAAAGTCTTGGATTGGAGAAAAAGAGGGACAAGTTGAGAAAGGGGTCTGTTTAAAGAACAGGTAGTGAGCCCTGGTCAGTTTGGCTCAGCAGTTACAGAGAGCGTCAGCCCGCAGACCAGAAAGGCCCGGATTTGGTTCCCACTGAGGGCACGAACCTCGGTTGCAGTTTGTCCCCGGCCCCAGTTGGGGTTGTGTGGGTGGCAACCACTCAATGCATCTCTCTCACATCGATGTTTCTCTCTCTCTTCCTCCCTCTCTATCTGAAGATAAATGCAAAAATGTCCTTGGGTGAGGATAAAAAATAAATAAAAACAAAGAACAGGCAGTGGGGATAATCAAATCAGAAGCCTAAGGGCAAGAAGGAGTGTGTTGTCCTAGCTGGAGCAGAGGTGAGTGCTAGGCCCCCAGGAGTCCTCACTGAATGAGCAGCGTGGCACCAGAGTGGGCACTTACGCAGAAAAGGGACAGGATGGAAGTGCAGTGTGAGTGCACAGTCAGAATGCTCTGCCCTGTGTTTGTTGCCCTGCAGGTCGTCTCTACCTACGTGGCCCTCTCCCAGTTCTCCCAGAACGTGGGTGACAGGGAGCAGTGGCTGCACTGCGAGCGAATGGCCATTCAGAAAAGCAGCCGATGTTGGTTCTCCAGGGAGGGGTGGCTGGCCACAGCGCAGCTCGTGCAGGCCTTGGCCTACACCAAGCTCTGCCTCGGCCACCTTGACCTCTCCATCAAGCTGGGTAACGGGCTTGGGGCTGGCGAGCCCGAGGCTTTCAGGGGGGCCAGGCTCGCGGCAGGACCTCACACCGTGCTCTTTTGCCTCCCTAGGTTTTCAAGCTTATGAGATAAGCAGGCACCTCAGGAAACCAGCCCTGGAGAATCTGGTTCTCTCGGTGCTCTTCAGATCTGCATTTCTCAAGAAGAAGTATTAAGATCATTCTTTGTCATTTGTCTTTGTTGCCTAAGAGGGGAGGGTATGATGCCCCAGAGGAGGTGGGAGCGGAGAGGGAGAGGCTGTTCGTTTCCACAGCCAGGGCTGTCTCCTCTGTCACTGCAGGAAGCGCTCTCCTGCGTGGGGTCAATAGCAGTCTGAGCTGCTACCTAGTCTTTTTTCTTTCTTTTTTGTAAATTATTTTATTTCATTTTATTTTTTTCATCTCCATTTATCACCTCTATGCCCTCTTCCACCTCCACTCAGCCCCTCCCCACAATCACCGTTGTTTGTGTCCATGAGTTCTCGTTCTCTCTCTCCCCCTCCCTGCCTCCCCCCTTTCATTTTTCTTTAGGGAGGTAGAGAATTGCAGTAAAGACCCTGGAAACTGTCTTAGAGGCATTTTTCCACTTCTTTTGCTTAGAGACACTCTGATCCCAGGCACAGATGCTCTCTATATAAATAGAGCTATAGAGAGGAGGTGTACGGGATGTTAGGCTGCTTTGGAGGTGTAAGATCCCCTCCTGCACCATGCTCCCCACTCCCAACTGGTCCCAGTGGCTCTGTCTCTCGGCAGATTTGATCTGTGTGTCCACGTGCTGGACAGTCAGTGGGCGCTCATTTCCCAGGGTCACAATATCCTTGGCCTGGCCTGCTTCTACTCTGCTTGCTTAGATCTGCTGCTCTATGGAAAAGGTAAGTCTTGTGCAGGGCTCTGTTGTCTTCGGAGGGATTCAGACCTTAGATGGGGCCTGAGGTTTGGGACACAGGCAGTCATGAGCCTGTCCCTCAGGCATGGTCTCTGCTCCCAGCCCCTGGCTCCATAAAGTCTAGAAACCACTTTGTGATTCAGGAATGTCTGCCTTTCAAATGTCTCCTTCGAAACCGTTTCCACATGGACAACTTCTAGTAGCCTGGTTACCTTCTGTCCTCAGGATTGCGGTGCCGGCCCTTTGGAGAGTGTCTGCGTTTCATTCAGTACCATGAGCATAGCTGCATCCTGACCTCTCAGAGCAACGTCATGCTGGGGGTCCACTCCTCTCTGGCCATGTGGTAACGTGGGCTTCCATCTTCCTTGGGGTAAATGGGAAAGGGTAGAAATTTTTTGTTTAAATTCTCACCCGAAGATATTTTTCCATTTATCTGCACACAGAAGGACGGAGGGAAAGAGAGAGCAGAGGCGGGGTGGGGGTGGGGGAACAGAAACATCAATGTGAGAGAGACACATCAATTGTTTGCCTCCCACACAACCCCAACCAGGGCCGGGGACCAAACCGCAATTGAGATATGTGCCCTTGACTGGAATCAAACCTGCGACTCTTTGGTCCAGGCCAATGCTCTAACCACTGGGCAAAACTGGCCAGGGCAGAAAGGGTAGAAATATAAGGGCACCATAAGTTATTATTTCCACATCTCTAATTCACTTCTAAATACCATTCACCTCCCATCCCCATCTTATTAGATGGGTTCTTCTTTTCTTTTTTTCCATAACTGGTTTAGGCCTACAAGATGAGGGTTAAGTTTAGGGTTACATTTAAGTGCTAGATAACTCATGAAAAGGCTGAATACCACTGGTCTCCCTCTAAGTCTCATTGAATGAGAGTTAGTAGCCTTGGTCACTGTCCAGCGTCACAATTCTCACTATCAAGGAGCTCTTAGAGCCTTAAAGAAACGATGCTTCTATGCAAGAGCCATGGCTGGTAAGCAGGGGAGAGCGCTCAGAGCTGCGATTTTCCCTCCAGGTTTGCCCAGGACTCACAGTGGCACCTGTTTGAGCACCACTTCTCCAAGGCTCACCAGTTGGTGAGACGAACCAATGCCTCACTGTTCGGTTCACATGGCTTTGTCCGATTCCTAGAGTGCCACATGCTAACGTCACAGAGGGTGCCGGGGGCTGTCCTCATGCACGCTCCCCCAGAGACTCAGACTCAAGTCTCCAAGGTACCTGTTTCCCTACTGTCCTTCAACTAGCCCTGCATTCCAGTCCGACCCTGCAGTACTCTCTCCGCCGCTTGCTCTATCCCTGCTCTTCTCTCTGCTGCCACTGTCTCTTTCTGCCCCTCGAGCCCTTTCTCCCTTCACCTGGAAAGGCTTTCCACCCACCTTATGTACCTTCCCAGGGGTTCTTGCAGGTAGGTCCGGACTGGATGCCCAAGGCAGAAGCCTTTGCACAGCTACTGCCCAATACCATTAAAATTTCAACACTTAGCCCCTCTCATGGGCCCGCTCTGGCAAGTGTGTGATCGGACACAGCTCCCTGCATCCCTGCCTTCCGGTCTAAGACACTCTAGATCCTCTGGGTTTCCAACCAACTTTCTGGGCCTACTTTGCACCACATGACTCACCCTTGTTCTGAGTGAGTGTCCTGAGTGGGGACTGTTGTAAGTTCTGAGTGGAGGGAGAAGTACTAATCCCTGAGCTAATGGACCTTCCTTTCTTTTCAGTACTTTAAGGAGTTCTTCTCCCGATGTGTGACCTGCCCTGTCTATCACCAGTGGGTCTCTAAGCTTAAGGCTTCTGTAATGAGATGTGGAAAGAGAGAATTCATGTCCTTGAATAACATCATCAGGCCTTTTGACACTTGCTTGGCCAGGATTTGGATAGAGGGAAACTTCCTGGAGGAAAACAAGTCCCTTGAAGGAAATGTACCCATGCAGAGTAAGCATCCCTTCCTGGAGCCCTTGTCTGAGAGACGGCAAGACCAGGCTCTAGCTCTCACGCACAGCAGCCAAAGGCTTCACCCCCAAAGTAAGAAGGGACACAGGTGTAAGGAGTTTGTCCCTGCTTCAGAGCTATCTACTGTCCCCTCACTGGTGCTGGGCCCAGCCTGGACACATTGCTAGGTAATGTGAGAGCCTCCCCCAGACCTTTACTTCAACATCTAGAATCCTTACGTGTAGCGAGTTCCTCTTGGTCAAGTTCTTGGTCCCAGCTTAAACAACTAGATCATTCCTTTGAAGTAGCTGCAGGGTCACTAAGCGAGACAGAAGACCTTAGAAGCCACACTGTGATGTGTAGAGGTAATGGTGAGATGTGGGCAGGAAGAAGAGAGGAACGAATATAGTGTCTTGCCTTGAGGCCCTGCAAATTTCCTTGCACAGGCTCACAAGTTAGATCTGTAATTGCTAAGGACATTCCTTGTGTTTGTGATATTCTTTATGTTCCTGTTTCCAGGATTTGACAGAGTGGCTGATGTCAAGGAGAATAGGGATGAAGAAGAAATTCAAGAATGTAAATGTTAAAACAAAAAAAATCATCTGAAGGGATCATGATTCTCTTACTGTATATAACACAAAGAAATGCCCAGTCTCCTTTTTGATACTGTATAGTTTACATATTAGATACACTAGCCTTTTACAGTCACCACTGTCTAGATATTTGTCAAAATAAAGGCCTATGTTTCTGAAGCATGAAACTTAGATCTTTCTTAACTCTGGACTGTGATCTGCACCACTGTAGAGAAAGTAAACCCAGGAGTAGACCAGAGGTCTGGGAGGCTTCGGGATGAACTGATTCCATCTCAGATAGGGCGGGTCCGTCCAGAGGAAACCGCCCTCGCAAAGAGGCTGCCGTTGCGTAGTAGGGGAGGCTGGCAGTGCGGCTGCTGGGTGCTCACCCCTTTGGCACAGGTGTGGAGATGGGCTGGAAGAAGTCAAGGACTCATCTGAGAGGTACACAGTGGGAATTTGTTCCTCCTCGGCAGGAGTGACCTGGGCATTTCCTCGTGAGACGGAAGTTGCCGGAGGGAAGAGACTCGGCTCTCTTCTTCATTCTCCCCTTTTACAGCTGCTGTCTTTGGCCTTCATCTGTTTGATGGTCTTTCTTCCACGGAGCATGGCCTTCCCACTGAACTTCACACTTTACAACTCAATCATCCAGTGTTCAGTGTCAGTTAACTAATGTTATGATAGCTACTCTTATTGTCCAATTACTCTGTGCTTGAAATACATGCTTTAAGTCCTTGTATCAATTTTGTGAAGCAAGTATTTTTATTATCCCCATATTACAGATGAAGCGACTGAAGCTTAGAAAGGTTTTAGAAACATAGTCACAAAATGGAGGTGCTGGGACTCTAACTCCAATTTCATTCCCGAGTTTGTGCTCTCGATCACTAGGCCGCACAGGCCTTCACGGGACCTAGCCCGTTGCCAGCCGTCCTGCACGTGGTCCGCAATGTTCTGTTCAAATGACTGAGGTCAGAACTTTAAGGACCTGAAGGGAGATGCTTGGGAAAGGGAGGCCTGTACTTGCCCTTTAAATCTAGTCTGCACATTCCCTCCTTCCCCTCCCCTTCTCGTTACCCTTCCTCCTCCCCTCACTCCCCTCCTGTCTCCCTCCCTTCCCCCACCTCTTCCCTCCTTCCTCCCTCCTCCTCGCCTTCTCTAGCTGAATGCCCGCGGTTCTGACACGAAGCAGTCATCCCACATGTCGCCTGCATTTGCTTTGCTTTGTCTTCATGTGTTTCTTACAATAAAATTTAGGCCAGTATTTTTATTTTAAAAGTTACTTTTATAACTGTGACTTGACTTGGGTATTCACTAACTTCCGACCATGAGCAACAATGGAGTTAATGTATTTCCCTTCTCTTCTTCCCCGTTCCCCCAGCCAGTGGTGTTCCTTGGTACTTTCCTTTGCACTGCTAAATATACTTATGCTTCTGTCAGGGTCTGAAAAGTTCGAAATACATTCAGAACAGGGTAAGTTTTCCCCAGAAAGGTTCTTAGACTCTTTTCTGCCCTTCCCCCTCCTCCCCCTCCCCTGCACGCCCTCACCTCCCCACCAGGCAAGTCCCCAGTCATCGTAGCCAGGGAAAAAGGAGGGCTTTATTGATTGGTGGACAGCTGCTGCCTTCACAGGGGACAGAGTAAATTTAGGTTCTGTCACAGACTGAGACTCTATCAGCAAAGCTCAGAACATCCTGCCAGAGCACCCTAAAAATAGCATCACCAGGCTTACACAGCTGGGGAGCCCAGGGCACAGCCCCTGCGCCCTCCCTTCCCCTGAGGGGCCTAGACCAAGCTCAGGGCCCTCCGGATGGGGCACCTCTTTATGCCTCGCTCTCTGTGACTGTAAGACAACTGGATTCCAAGCGCCTCATCCTCTAAGTCTCTCCTCTCGATATGGGCAAATGTTTTCAGATTGAACTGTTTCAGGAGAAATCCTGGCAGAGATAAAGGCCCTCTCACCCCAGCCTAGATGAGCTTTCATTTACACTTGGCCACTCCGCTCCCCCAGCCTTTTCTCCCTGGGCTCCGCCCAAGCCGGCCGAGGGCGCAGTGCTTCCAGACGGCTCCTGGGCTGACAGCAGCTCCACTGGGCGTCTGCGAGGAGCTGCTCCTGAGGCGTGGAGTCCTTGGTCCCCCGAGGAGCAATACCGAGGCGTGTTTCCACTTCCCCCTGTTCCTGTTTCTTTTCAGCCCTCTCCCACACCCCTGTCCTGAGTCTCCTTCGATTAAGCATTGTCCCCTCCTCCCATCATATGTTGTCACGTCAGAAGATGTCGCTTGTTTACAAGGTGTACAGCGGAAGCAGAAAACATTTCTAGACTTGAGGAAATGGATCTATGCTTTCGGGTATCAGGAGACAGGCAGGAAATACTTTTGGAAAAGCCTTCTTGGTGCCCCTTGAGTCAAACAGCACGGCGGTGTCCAGACGGGGCAGTGAAGCCCCTCCCCCCGCAGGCCGGGCAGGCGCCCATGCGGCACCAGCCCCAGACTGGTCTGTGCTGTCCTCAAGTCGTGTAAATAGTCGCGCTCGGGCTTCCCTTCCCCTCACCACCAGGGTGCATATGTCAGCATTTAGACTTTATTTAGCCCATGGTTTAATGGCGTGGGAGGATCCCAGACACCTGGATCACACCCAGCTTCACTGCAGGTCAGAAAGTCAAGGCATTACAGTAGATCCTGAAGTCCCTGGGTGCTCTGATATACTAAGGACATGTAGGGCTTGGGCTGCTGGGTGGATGGCAGAGAGAACCCGGGTGGTCTCTGGGCACACAGTGTGGTGAGCAGCCGGCCGGATGGAGTCTGGCCTGAGGAGGACCTGGGCTGGCTCTCAGCAGGCCCCTCCACCCCTGTCCCCTCCATGGAAGTTGACTGTGGCATATGTCACACTCTTGGAGTGGGTCAGAACCTTAGGAGGCAGAGGGGGCACTGAGGATGGGGCTGGGGGTGGGGGTTTCCTTGATAGGGGCTCAGGAGGTAGGCTGGTGTAGGTGATATCGTCGAAGGAAGGCAGGCGGTTGAGCCTCACATGTGGTACTTCCAACGGCGCATCTGCAGCCGGCCCCGCACTGTCCACGCGGTCCCCGGAGGAGGGCGCCTGTAAGGAACAGACGGACCGGGCAGAGGGAACACCTTCCTCAGCCCCATTTCCTCTGGGGCAAAGCCCAGGACTATGCTGCATTGTCTCTCGAATCCTGAATGTGTCAGTGGGCAAGAGGGCTTCTTGGACTTCCGGTGAAGATGGTAGCATAGGTAAATGCGGTATCGCGTCCCCCCACAACCACATCAAAGTTACAACTAAACTACAGAACAACCATCATTCAAAACCACCTGACATCAAGCTGAATGGCAGTCCTACAACTACAGAATTAAAGCAGCAGCCACATGGAGACTGGTAGGAGGGTCGGAGGTGGACAGGCTGGTCCCACACCCATGTGTGGCGGATAAAAATCAGGAGGACACCTCGGCTGGGAAGGTCCTTCCTGAGGACTGAGGGGTCCCCGTCCCACACCAGGTGCCCCGCTCAGGTTCCAGTGCCAGGAAGAGAATCCCCATCACTTCTGGCTGGAAAAACCAGCGGGAACTGAGGCTCAGGGAGGCTGAGGCGGCTGGAGCCCCAGGCAGCTCCTTAAAGGGCCCGCACACGGACTTATCCGACTCCCTCTAAGCTTGGAGGGGAGGCAGCTCAAGGGGCACCAGAGACATACAGGGAAGAACTGAGCTGTTTGGCACTGGAGGGGGCTGGAGAGGGGGCTTTCTCCGGGACAAACGTGCTGTCAGAGGCCTTTGTTCCTTTGGTGAGCCCTTCCCTGGGGCGGCAGACAGTCACCATATCTGGGACTCGAGCAACTTGGCTCACACTGGTAGCCCCTCCCTGGTGATTCCCTGAGGCCCCGCCCCACCCCACCCAACTTTCAGGACCACCCAAGCTGTTGCCACTTGCTTAACCATAGGATTGGCCTGTCTTGGATCCTGCTTCAGGTTTTCCTAAATTCTTTCAAACAAGCAGCATCTGGTCTCAGCGAGCCCCATATCTCTCGTTAAGTAATACATAGAAACAAACACAGGGAGGCAGCCGTAATGAGGAGACAAAGAAACAGTCCCAAATGAAAGAAAAAAACAAATCTCCTGGAAAAGAACTAAGCAAAATGGAGATAAGCAACCTAACAGATGCTGAGTTCAAAATACTGCTTATAAGGATGCTCAATGAACTTAGTGAGAACCTCAGTGAACTTAGTGAGGGCCTCAAGCGCATAAAAAAGGCCCAGTCAGAAATGAAGGAAGCACAGTCAGAAATGAAGGAGGCACTAACTGAAAGAATAATTTACACAGATTCAATAGTAGAGTAGGTAAAGCCAAGAAGCAAACCATCTATTTGGAATATAAGGAAGCAAAAAACCATCCAATCAGAACAGCAAAAAGAGAAAAGAATCCAAAAAAAGAGGATAGTGTAAGGAACCTCTGGGACAACTTCAAGCGTGATAACATTCACATCTTGGGGGTGCCAGAAGGAGAAGAGAGGGAACGAGAAATCAAAAACCTCTTTGAAACAATAATGGCAGAAAACTTTCCTAACTTGGTGAAGGAAACAGACATACAAGTCCAGGAAGCACAGAGAGTCCCAAACAAGATGAACCCCAAGAGGCCCACAGCAAGACACATCATCATCAAAATGCAAAAGGTTCAAGACAAAGAGAGAATCTTAAAAGCAGCAAGAGAAAAGCAGTTAGTTACCTATAAGGGAGTTCCCATAAGACTGTCAGCTGATTTCTCAAAAGAAACTTTGCAGGCCAGAAGGGAGTGCCAAGAAATATTCAGAGTGATGAAAAGCAAGAACCTACAACCAAGATTACTCTATCCTGCAAAGCTGTCATTTAGAATCAATGGCCATATAAAGAGTTTCCCAGACAAGAAAAAGTTAAAGGAGTTCATCACTACCAAACCGTTATTATATGAAATGTTGAAGGGTCTTTTTGAAGAAAAAGATAAAATATATGAACAAACAAAATGGCAATGAATACATATCTATCAACAATGGAATCTACAAACAAAATGAACAGGCAGAACAGAAACATTCTCATAGATACAGAGAACATTTTGTTGGTTGCCAGAAGGGAGGGGGGTTGGGGGAATGGGTGAAAAAGGTGAAGGTATTAAGAAGAAAAAATTGGTTGCTAGACTGACAAACCTCAAAGAGAAGGGGGTTGGGGGTTGGGAAGAAATAAACCAAAGAACTTATATGCATAACCAATGGACACGGACAACAGTGGGAAAAGGCAGGAGGGGGGCGGGAGTGGGGAGGAGGGAGTCAATGGGGGGAAAATGAGGAACATCTGTAATACATTCAACAATAAAGATTTAAAAAAAAGAAAAAGAAAAGAGGGCTTCTTGAAGTTTTTTAACCCCCAAGTTTTTCCCCAAATCTGGGAAGGTGGGGTACCAAGGTGGGAAAGCGGGACCATTGGGGCCAGTCCTCTCTCCACCCCTTCAGTGTGGGACCTCTCAGTGAGCATGGCAGGCGGAGGGTCTGGGGACATTGGCTGGGAGCCTGCGGAGGCCTCCCTCTTACCATGCCTGGAACTCCGCTGTCCTGCGATCGGCCGGAGACTCCAAGCCTGTTCCCTGGCGAGACAGAGGACAGCAGCCCGGTGTGCTTCCTGCGCTGCTTCAGAGCACCCCCCTCCCCTTCGGAAACCTCTTCTCGAGTCCAGACACCTTCCCCACTCCCACCACTGAACCTTCCCCCTAGGACTCCCCACCCACTGCTTCCGGCTCCCCCAAACCTGGCTGGACACTCACCCTAGCTCCAGAAGCCCTTTCCTCACCTCTCCAGTCCCCTGCCCCCAATCCCACTCCCCACCTTTCCAGTTCCTGCCTTTCCCTAGGCCTGTTCCCATTGACTCTCCTTCCTCCCCTCCACCCATCAGCCATGGGAACCCCAGGGTCTGGGTGCCGTGCTAATGCCCAGACAAGCCCCTCCTCTGTAGGGGACAGACCTAGATTCCTGGCCTCGTCTGCAAGACGGGCTGGCAGGCCCATGGGGCTATGCTGGGATAGAACGGACCACGACCTACCTTTCCTTTTGGCCATCGCATCGAACAACACCACTGCCACCACCAGCAAGCCCAGCAGGGCCACTGAGCCCCAGATCAAGAGGATGCTGAGGGACACAAAGGGACAGGTGAGCATAGCCCTGAGCCTGGCCGGGAGCTGCGCCAGGACTCCTGGAGCAGAGGCACGGGGCGCAGTTCCTGGTGAGCGTGGTGGGGAGAAGGGGGTTTGGATGGGGTGAGAAAGCAGGCTCAGGCAGGGAGGAACAGACACATCGTCTGGGTATCCTGGCTGAGGACCCCGCGAGATGAACGGGTCATGTTGAACTGGCACAGAGAGGTCTGGCTGGCTGGCTGACGAGCTGCCCGATCAGAAGTTCCCCAGGAAAGAAAGGAAGCATGAAATTTCTCTGATTTATCTGGGCTCGAAGCAAGCCGTGGGTATCTTCACCACCACCCTCGTCCCAGCCACGCAGACGCGGTTCTTGTCAGTACCTGTGCTGCTGCAGGCTGGGCTCCGGAGGGCTGGCCGTGCCCGTGGGGTCTGAGGAAGGGTGCTTCTCCTCCTTCAGGCCAGGAGCTGTCGGGAATACCCAGTGAGCGCATACCCGCTGTGGGCAGGGTTCGGGGCCTCCCGAGGAAATGGAGCTGAGGAAGGAGAGGTCTCCAGCAGGAAACACAACGAAGGAGTTTGGGGTGTTCCTTAGGGGCCGCTCCTTCTGGGGGCCAGGGATGGCATTCAGTATGCTTCACCTGGCAGTGAACACACCCGCTGTCCCCTCCACACCAGCTCCCGCTCCCCTGTCTCTACGGGGGCTCCGCACAGCCTGCCACCTGGGGCCCCTGCAGGCTGGCGGCGCCCATCCCCAGCTCGGCCCTCAGGGTCTGAGGAACTCTGGGGTCAGCCCAAAAGGGACACATGCCAACTGACCCTTGCTGAGGGATTTGCTTGGACCCGAGACTCAGTTGGGTGACAAAGCTTCCGTCACCTACAACGTGCTCAACTTCTGGCTGAGGGACTTAGGGTTGGCTTCTCTGGGCCTGAAGATCTGTCGTGGGAACCAGGCCGGGCCTAGACCTTCTGGGAAGGGAGCCTCGCCCTGCTCAGAGGAGACTCGACATTCCTACCCCACCCCATGACCAACCAGGAAATGGAGTTGCTGGGGCCCCGATCTTGCTGCCTATGACCTGCTTTCCTGGTGCCTTTTAAGCCTCCGTGGACAAGCCTCCATGAAGCTAAGAGGGCGCCCGAGCTGCCCCCACACCCTCCCTGGGGACCATGCACCTGCCCGCGAACCCCAACTTCCACACCTGCCACTGCAGGCCCCGCCTCCCTGCCCCTCTGCTCACGGGGAGGGGTATAACCCCGAGTCCCCAGACCTTAGCGCGTCAAGGACGGAGGAGGGCAAAGGTGATAAGGGTGAACAGGAGTGTGTTTGCGGTAGAAAACAGTAACCGCGGACTGCGGAGAAGAGGGATTCTCGGGGCGACTAGGTCCGTCCTCCTAACTACCAGCCGGAATCCCGAGGAGGAGCCTGCCTCTGACTGTGGTGTTTGGGGCGGCACAGGTACTGGGGAAAAGGAGGACCTGAAGGGGAAACGCGTCAGCACCCACAGGGAAAGTGGCCATCTCCGCGTCAGCAGCCGGCTGACATTTCCCTCCAGAATCTTGTTTTTACAGCAGCCTGCTTTACTGGAAAAATGTTTTCTTTAAGAAGTTATTTATTTATCCTCACCCGAGGACATTTTTTGTTCAGATAGAGTGGGAGGGAGAGAGAGGAGGAGAAAGAGAAACATCGATATGAAAGGGACACATCGAGTGGCTGCCACCCGCACGACCCAACCAGGGCCGGGGACAAACTGCAACCGAGGTACGTGCCCTTAACGAGAACCGAACCCGGGTCTCTCTGGACCACAGGCCGACGCTCTAACCACTGAGCCAAACCCGCCAGGGCTGTTTTTTTTAACACTTAAAAATTTCTTTAAATGAATGCTTGGCTATTAGATAGTTATAGGCTGTGTGGATTAACTCTATAAAAAAATAAAATGCTGGCCAAGCCACTGTGGCTCAGTGGTTGAGCATCAATCCATGGACCAAGAGGTTGCCGGTTCTATTCCCGGTCAGGGCACATGCCCAGGTTGTGGGCCTGATCCCCAATGGGGGGCATGCAGGAGGCAGCTAATCAATGTGTCTCTCTTATTGATGTTTCTATCTTTCTCCCCATCTCCCTAAATATCAATAAAAATATTTTTGAGCCCTAGCCGGTTTGGCTCAGCGGTTAGAACGTTGGCCTGAGGTCCAGAGAGACCCGGGTTCGGTTCCCACTAAGGGCACATACCTCGGTTGCAGTTTGTCCCCGGCCCTGGTTGGGTCGTGTGGGTGGCAGCCACTCGATGTGTCCCTTTCACGTCGATGTCTCTCTCTCTCTCTCTCTCTCTCTCTGTCTCTCTCTCTCCTTCCCACTCTATCTGAACAAAATATCAAAAAATGTCCTCGGGTGAGGATAAAAAAATATATATATTTTTTTAATTAAATAAATAAATAAATAAAGTGCTTTCCATACTGAAATTAGAGCTGAGAATATTAGCTGGAATAAGGGATATTTCTCCCATTTTTAAAGCTGAATGAGGTTCAGACGTTGCATGGTAGTCCGCCTATAGATGAGCCCAGGGAGGACGGATAAAATTCAGTAAGATATGAATTCAGTCATTTTTAAGCCATCGAATACATTATTACAGTAATTTAAAAAAACTGGATGATAAAAAAGAGTAATTCAAGTTAATATGCCCAAATTAAAACTTTGTTTAAAGCATTTCTAAGAAAAGAAAAGTAGCATCAAGTGTGTTGGAAATGCTGGAACAGGAGGCCAAGGCCATGCGTGGGGGAGAGTCTGTGCCTTCCAGGGGGACCCGCCTGGGCCGGAGGGGGAAGGGTCTGCATTTGGCTGTTTGTGTTTTGTTTTGTTTTGTTTTGTTTTTAATCCTCACCCGAGGATATTTTTCTATTTATCTTCAGATGGAGTGGAGAGAGAGAGAGAAACATCGACGTGAGAGGGATACATTGACTGGTTGTCTCCCGCACAACCCCGACCAGGGCGAGGGATGAACCACAACTGAGGTATGTGCCCTTGACCACAATCGAACCCGAGACTCATTGGCCCACAGGCTGACACTCTACCACTGAGCCACACTGGCCAGGGCTGCATTTGGCTGTTTTTTCTGTTGTCTCACCCAGTTTGGTTTCTGTTCCCTGCAGAGCTGTCAGAAAGATGTCTCCCCGCAAACCCTCTCCCCCAGCGGTCCCCACCCCCCAAGGCCCCAAGAGCAGCTGGTGGGAGTCGGGAGGACGGGTCAGAGGAGAGTGCGGGCCTCGGGTACTCACCTTCAGGGAGGATGTCCAGAGACACCCTGTGCACCGTCTGGGACCCGGTGCTCCCCTCCACCATGCACCTGTACTCCCCAGCGTCCTCCTCCCTCAGGGAAACCATCTCCACCTGGAGCAGGCCGCTGCCCATGTCCGTGAGGAATGTGCGGCTGTGCCCTGGGGCTCCGCGGTCCACCACCGAAGACACCAAGGGCTGGCACCACCCCTGCGAGAACCGGCACCACACCTTCCGAGCCCTGAGGTCGTGGGGCCGGTAGAGACACTGCACCCTGATGGAGCTCCCCACCGGTGCCCGCAACACCTCGGGGAGGCTGTCGGCCGAGCCCTGGCCTGAGGGAGGAAAGGATGTCAGGCAGGAGCGGGGGAGCCCCAGCCCATGCCCTGGCAAAGGCCCTACACACATTACTGTTACCACAGTTACTTGTCGGCACGGAACGCTCTGTGGGGCCCCGGCACAGCCCTCGGTCCTTACCTGCTAGTCCCAGGAGCAGCAGCAGGAGCGGGCTGAGACCCATGGCTGGCAGGGAGGCTGGCAGGGAGGTTGCCCGGGCACTGACGCAGCATTCCCTGGGGGCAGGAAACAGCTGCATCCCACAGACAGTCACGTGGGCTCCCAGTGACTCTGGGTGCGAGGCAGACATGGGGGCCCCCACGGGTGAGGATAAGGAGTGTGTCCAAACCCAGGGTGGCTCAGTGCTTGGGAACCGACCCTGAGGACAGGGTGGGCCAGGCAGGGCTGCGGCCCAGCCAAGGAGGAAGGTGGGAAGGTGGAGGCGGCAGGGGAGTGTTAGGGAGAGGAAGACGCTCTCCAGGTCTTCCAGGGACCTGAGGACCCGGCCGAAGGAGGGAGGTGGTGTCCTGCCCATGACCCAAGGCCCTTCTGATTCTCAATTCTGTGTGCGTCCTACCGAGCCCTCAGGAGGTTGTCCTTCTCCGGTGGCCCCGCCCCGCAGCCGGCAGTCCCGCCTTGATGGTGGGCCTGGCCTGGCATTGCTTATTCGGCAGTGTGCCCTCTGGACCCAGCCAGTGAGGACCCACGTTCTTCAGTTCTGGAAACTGCATTATGTCTTTTAAAACATTTTTATGTGTTTTTATTTATTTTGGGGAGAGAGAGAGAGAAACATCAATGTGAGAGAGAAACATCCATCAGCTGCCTCCTGCACGCCCCCTACTGGGGATCGAGTCCACCACCCGGGCATGTGCCCTAACCGGGAATCGAACAGGGACCTCTCAGTCCATGGACAACGCTCAATCCACTGAGCCACACCGGCCGGGCGTGTGTTACGTCTTTAATCATCGCTTCTCCCTTTTCTCCCTCCCCTCTGTTTTTCTGGAACTGCCTGATTCCTTGGATATGGGCCCTAATGCATCCAGGACATTTTCATACCCTTTCTCTCCTATTTCCCATCTGTCTTGGTCCGTCTTGTTCCGATTTCTAAAAGATATCCTCATCTTTTCTTCCATCCCTTCTGCTAGTGGCTTTTAAATTTTTATTTCTTAGTGTTCTTAGTTGACAAGGTTTCTTATTCTTCCAGCATTTCTTCCTCATAGCCTATTTTTGTTTTGGGAATACACTGTCTTGTCTGTGGGGAGGCCATTCTTTTTCTTTTCTCTTGTAGAGAGATTTCTGCTTTTCTGCCTGGTCTGGGCCCAGGGTGCCCACCAGGTGTGTTCAGGTGACATACTGGGAGGTTTGCTTACATTCTTCCCCTCTCTCCCTGGAGGTGGGTTGTTTGTTTTGTTTAAATTTCATTTCTCAATTCAGTTTGCATTTCATATTGTTTTGTAGCCAGGTGGGTACTTGATTTGGTTTCTGATGGGAGAGGACCCTGAGGCTCAGAGGAGTTAAGGAAGTTGCAGGAGGCAAAGCACCTGCACCCCCTTCGGTCCAGAGTGCCCCCCAGAGAGTCCAAGGCAGGGGATGCCAATGGCAAGGAAAGGGTACCTGCACCCCAGTGCCCAGCACACCCACCTGGGGGCCTCCCTGCCATCTCGTCCGCATCGTGCCTGGGACGAGGGGCCAGAGGTAGAACCAGCTCAGTCTGGGCTCCACTCGGTCCAGAAGCCCGCCCTGCCTGGGGACGGAAGGAGGAGTTTCCTGTGCCCCAGTCAGAAGGCCGGGGAAACAGACGGGACAGGCCAGCAGCCTCACTGGGGAGTGGCTGAGGCAGGGCTGGGCAGGGCTGGGCAGGGCTGAGGCAGGGCAGGGCTGGGCTGGGCAGGGCAGGGCAGGGCTGGACTGGGCAGGGCAGGGCTGGGCTGGGCAGGACTAGGCAGGGCTGAGGCAGGGCTGGGCAGGGCTGGGCAGGGCTGGGCAGGGCTGGGCAGGGCTGGACTGGGCAGGGCAGGGCAGGACTAGGCAGGGCTGAGGCAGGGCTGGGCAAGGCTGGGCAGGGTTGGGCAGGGCTGAGGCAGAGCTGGGCAGGGCTGGACAGGGCAGGGCAGGGCTGGGCAGGGCAGGGCTGGGCAGGGCTGAGGCAGGGCTGGGCAGGGTTGGGCAGGGCTGAGGCAGGGCTGGGCAAGGCTGAGGCAGAGCTGGGCAGGACTGGGCAGGGCTGGGCAGGGTTCTGAGGCTGTATCAGGGATTCCAAACCCCAGATTCCCACACCCAGGTTTGTGGCAAAGCAGCCACGTGGCCAAAGGCAGAGGAGCTCCTGCCCCAGGGTGTAGAGAACTCCTTCCCCCTCTTCCCAGTGACCCCCACCCTAGCCCTGGACGTCTGCCAGTTTCCCCTTGGCTCTCCGCCTGGCCGGGTGGGTGTGTGAACTGAAGAAGTGTGTTCACTTCCTCACCTCCTCCAAGTGCTTCTCCGAGCAGCCTCTGACCACCCTTAGAATTGCACCATCCCGTCCTTTCTGCCCTCCAACCCTCCTGACCCGCTGACCACTCCACGTGGCTCTGCGTGGGCACACATCTCTGCCTGCTGTGTTCCTGTCTGCAATGCCCAGATCAGCCCTGACGCAGAAAACATCCGTTGAATGAACAGATGAATGAATGGGTGGCACTGAGCTGGAGGGAGGGGCTCCGTGAATGACAGGTGAAATTTGGATTTCCAAACTCTACTGGGGACTAGGGACAAGTCCTTTCCCTTGTGAGCCTCAGTTTCCCTTCTGTACACTGGGGGCTTCGATCAGCAGTTTCCAGACGGGGGTGCTGCCCATGACTCAAGTCCTGGCATTCCCCGGGGGGAAGAGGGACGAAGAAAGCAAAGCTCCGGGGAGATGGGTGCGTCAGCTGGGACGTGGGTGGACTTGGGGTGGGGTGGGAAGGGAGGAGGAGGCCAGGAGGAGGGGAGGAAGACCATGCTAGGGACATTCCAGAGGAGGGGGCAGGCCTTGGTCATCAGCTCTAGGAAAGAGAGCGAGAAGAACAAAAAGATGGGCCCGTTTGGAGCCTGAGAGATGGCGGAATGTGGTCTCCTTAGGACCCGGGTCCCAGTGAGCCAGCCCCCTTTCCACATCCACATGTATCCTCCTAGCCCTGGAGCAAGAAGAACTTCACAATGCCCAAAGCAATCCATCTAAACAGGAAATCTCGGATTTATTTGTGAGAATGTTTGCTGTCCAATGCCACACACGCCACACACACACACACACACACACACCACACACACACACACACACCACACACCACACACCACACACCACACACACACACTACACACCACACACACACACCACACACCACACACACACACCACACCACACACCACACACACACACACCACACACCTCACACACACACTACACACCACACACACACACCACACACCACACACCACACACACACACACACCACACACCACACACACACACACACACACCACACACCGCACACACACACTACACACCACACACACACACCACACACCACACACACACACACCACACACCTCACACACACACACACACCACACACCTCACACACACACTACACACCACACACACACACCACACACCACACACCACACACACACACACCACACACCACACACACACACACACACACCACACACCACACACACACACTACACACCACACACACACACCACACACCACACACACACACCACACCACACACCACACACACACACACCACACACACACACACTACACACCACACACACACACCACACACAACACACAACACACACCACATACCACATACACACACACACACTACACACCACACACACACACCACACACACCACACACCACACACACACACTACACACCACACACCACACACCACACACACCACACACACACACACACACACCACACACACCACACACACCACACACCACACACCACACACACACACACCACACACCACACACACACACCACACACACACACACCACACACACCACACACACACACCACACACCACACACCACACCACACACACCACACATCCCTGGGGCAAGGGCAAGCAGAGTGCAGGCAAAGTGGGGTTTTGCCAGAGCAGAACCAGGAGTCTTGGTGGCTGAGGGGCGAGTGTGCAGGCTGGGGAGGTCCCTGCAGACCTCTCCAGGGCCTCGTCCCACGTGGGGTCCTCTCCTCTCAGGTGTCCCTCAGCCCTGCAACACACTGAGTTACTCGCATGCCCTCTTCGCCCACCGCCCCTCCCAGCCCGTCCACCCCAGCCACACTGCGCTCCCCAAGCTTACCAGTCAGGGTCTGGAGCTGGTGACCTGGGTCGTGGCTGCAGTCGGGCACACTGGCTGGAGGCGGCCCCAGTTTCTGCCCATGCCAGGCCACAGCCCAGAGGGCGCTGGCTGCCAGGAGCTTGCTGAGGAAGACGCAGGCCAGGAGGAAGAGGACGGAAGTGGGTGGAAAGTGCATCTCCTCTTCCAAGAGACTCCTGGTGGAAACAAGGAGAGCGTGTAGGAGGCATCGAAGGGGCCTCAGAGAAAGATGGGGGGACACCAGGAGCTTCCCGGGGCTCAGGGCAGCTCCCCGCACCCAGCACCCTCCCTGGATGGAGCTCTGTGGGGTTCGGCGGGCCTGCATTCAGGAGACCTGAGTTCTAGGCACAGGTTGGCATCTAAACCCCTCACCTTTACTCGCTGGACAGTGTTTGCCCTACGTGATGCTATGATGTGGGGGAGGGGTGTGCGTGGCGGGGGCACAGGTGTGCTCCGGGGTTATGTTAACAACACTGAACACCAGTACAGAGCCTTGAACCAGCAGGTCTGGGGACCTCAGCTTTGTACTGGAACATTCATTGTTGCTGACTTGTGGGGCTGCCGTAGGGCTGTCGAGGGGGGTGCAGGAGGCTGGCCACTCAGGAGTCCTGGAGCTGCGGCTATTTACAAACTGTTATAAAAGAATTTCAACAGTTGTTTTTTTTTTGGTATATGCCCTTAGTGGGAACCGAACCTGGGACTCTGGTCCGCAGGCCGACACTCCAACCACTGAGCCAAACCGGCCAGGGCTAGAATTTCAACAGGTCAGCAGGTGGCGCAGTCACACCAACACACAGTGGCCGGTGGGAAGGCTGCTTAGATGGGATCAGACCCAGGCCCTTTCCTGCTCTAACCGCCCTGGGACGTGTGGTTCTGGGACCCGCGTCTGCAGGGTAGGAGTCCACCAGGGACCTTAGGAAAGAGCTGTCACCACACCTGGAGATGCTGTGCTCCACCTGGGCGTCCTCAAAGCCCTGGGACTCCTCGGGGATCCAGAGCGCACCGGGGTCCTGGCGATCAGTGGGGTCTGTGGGAGACAGAGCCCGTGACCCTGTGCCCCCTCGCCCCAGGCAGCCTGCCGAGGTGGGGGAACCTCTCTGGGTGTTGTAGGCCTGTGGCCTCTGGCCCTGTGCGACCAAGTTGTTAACCTCTCTGGGCCTCAGTTTCCTCACCTGTAAAATGGGACAGTGCTGCGGATTCCGTGGGAACAGCCTTTGCCGTGCCTCCCACCTCCCAGGAGCTCAGTGACTGCGGCTCCAGTGACCCTCAGTAGGGGGACAGGACCTCCAGCGTGGGTTTCCCAGGGTCCTCGAAAGCCCAGAGCGTGGTCCCAGGCACGGACACTGAGGACAGGCCCGGGCGCTGCAGCTGCCCTGCCCACTCACCGGCCACGACCTCCACCAGGACTTTCCTGAGGGTGCTGGCCTCCCTCCCGCCGAGGCTCTGACACTGGTAGAGGCCAGCGTCGTGGGCTTGCAGGTTCCGCAGCGTGATGGTGAGCCTGCCGCCCAGGGTGTCGTCTGTGATGGACGTGCTCCCGTTCCGCCGCTTCAGGAAGGACAGCAGCCACGAGTGGTGGGTGCTGACCACCCGCTGGCACGAGTCCTCCTCGCCCAGCTGGCGGCACCAGGCCTTGCGTCTCCCCCAGTGCTGCCGGGAGTCGTAGGGGCAGGACACCCGCAGGGACTGGCCTGCCAGGCCCTGGAACACCGTGGTGTTGAGGCCTCGGCACAGCCCTGGGGGGGAGACACGCATTCACTCTTTTATCATTTACCAGATCTTCATTGAACACCGACTACGTGCAGTGAACACGAGACAGAAACCTTGCCCGGAAGGGGCTCAGGTTCTTAAAGAAGCTGGAAGAAGGCGGCACAGCCCAGGCAGGTGCTTATGGGAGACCGGAGCCGGGAAACCCAGGTCCTGGGTCTGGCTCTATCATCGTTGGACTTGCTGAGCATCGTTGAAGAAGTAACTGTCCCTCTCTGGGCCTGTTTCCAAAACATTTGGTCTTGAAGTTCCCCCAGTCCTATTCTGCACATCTTCTCCCTCCACATGGGAAAGAGACCTCTCCTCACCCCACTGCACCCCCAGAGCAGGGCTGCACCCCCGCCCTGGCCGTGCCTGTCCTCTGCCACTGCCCACGCTGCCCTGCACGCTGTCCTTCTGCCCTTTAGCACCCAGCTTCCCTGTTTCTGTGGCTTTGTTCCCCTTTCACGATGGACTCGTCTCAGCGCTATTTTGGGGGAGACATGAGGCTGCTATTTTGGGGGTCCTCCTTGGAGTGGGGAAGATGGGCTTAGAACACCAGCGTATTTCCAGGACGGGGGCTGCAAAGAATCACCCGAGACCTCTGCCTCCACGTCCCCTCTCGGTCCCCCTCTCTTCACCCCATCTTCAGCCATACGGTGACAGAAACTTGAAAGATGGGACTGGGGAGCTGGTGGCCTGCCTTCTGGAACCAGAGAGGCCTGGTGAGCAGTAGCCCCTCCACATGGCGTCTCAGCCACCCCTCGGCCTCCACCTTGCCGCACCCCACCCAGCCGGGCAGGGCCTCACTGGGACGACCCCTCACCCGGGTTTGCCTGCCGCTCTGGGGAGCACGAGGCCCCTTCCCCTAATGAGAAAAGGCAGTGTGTGCAAGAACGGGGGGTGTCAACCCCCAGCTCAATGACAGACATGTTTGGCCCCCTCACTTCCATCCAGGGCGGAGGACAGAGGATCGTCCAAGAATGGGGGGGGACACCCCAAAGACAAGGGCTCTCAGCCCAGGTTCTTTCCTCCCTCCCACCCTGCCACTCCTCTGGGGCTAGTCTTATGCTTCAGTGGTTCATAAATTTCAGGGCTCTGACTACTGCCCCCCAAACTTCCCCCAGCAACTAGCTAGTACCTGAGATGCCACCATCAAAACTCCTTCCTTCCACACAGCCAGAGCCCGGGCCCCGTGTGCCTGCCCACGTCTGAGGAGGCCGGCGGCGGGTCCTGATCCCGCAGAGGACAGCGTGCAGGACAGGGCGGGCGGGAGAGACGCGAGGACGCCAACCTCCCTCCGCTCGGCGCTCCCCACCTCCCGCCCGTCCACGGAAGGAAGCCACCAGCGACGGAGGGAAGGGGTTCTACCTGTGACAGACAGCAGGATGAGCAGCCGGACAGGCTCCATGTCACCCTCCCTTGCAGAGGGGGACACGAGGTGTCTTGTGCAAGATCTCGTCTTTCCCTTGAGCTGCAGAGAGCAGAGGCTCAGGCATGCCAGGCGCTGCTCACAGGAACTGGCTCCTGGGATTGAGCAACAGTTGGGACTGGGGTCTGGGTTTCTGATTCAGGAAGGGGTGTGGGGAGGAGGAGAGGAGGAGCCGCACTGCAGCCTCGGAGCCGGAGGCTGAGGATCTCAGACCTCTAGAGGTCAGCCCTCCATCTGTGCCGGGGCTGGGCAGGGTCCGAGGCTGCAGACCCCAGCCCCTTCCGGTCCTCTCGGGGCTGGTGTCCCTGTAGTGTGGCAGTGGCGAGGAACACGGGACTTGTGGCTTCAAATCCCTTCTTCCTCACCTCCTATGTGTGCAGCCACAGTCATAGCCTCTGTCTCAGCTCCTGTGTCTGTAAAATGGGAATAATAATCGTGTCTAGGGTTATTGGGAGCATGACATGGATTTTCCCAGGCAAAATGCTTTAGAACAGGCCCTGACACGCCAAAATTAATGAGTACCATTACCCTAGAGAGCAGGACACACAGCAAGCATGCAACAAAATTAACTAGTACTGTTACCCTAGTTAGCAGGATGTAGCAGGTACACAACAAAATTAACTAGTACTGTTACCCTAGTTAGCAGGATATAGCAGGTACGCAACAAAATTAACTAGTACCGCTACCCTAGTTAGCAGGATATAGCAGGTACGCAACAAAATTAACTAGTACTGTTACCCTAGTTAGCAGGAGAAAGCCCAAGTTTAGCCCCCTTTACACAGCTGGACGCCTCCTGCGGGCACATGCTCACACGACCATTGGTTTGTGCTCACACACACCTTGAACTCCCCATCCTCCTGTGGGACAGGACAGGACGTGACATGTTCTGGAGATCTTGGGTGGGGGTGCTTGAGCCATAGGTGCAGGTCTACGAAGGGTGACCCAGGCACAGGGACCTCCATGGCAGAGGCTCAGAGGTGTGGAGCGCCAAGCGAGCCAGGACAGGTCCGGAAGCTGGCAATGCCCAGGGGCAGGAGAGGCTGGAGGAGCCCACAGCCACCTACAGATCCTCAGTCTGCTTCGGTTTCCTGCAAACAGTCTGGTTGGTTCTTTCATGCATGTATTTATTCGTATTTACCATGCATGTATCGTATGGACAGGGAATGTGCGTGGAGATGGGTAGTTGGTGGTGAACATAAGGTAGTTCTTCATTTAGAGAGTCAGCTGCCCAGTCTAGACCTAGGTGCCTAGGGAATGAGGGTCTACGCCACCTGAAGATCACTGCACAAGACCCTTCTGAATTAATGGTGTATAATTTCATACAGAGAAATTCATCCCAGTAGGGTGTCCAATTCTATAAATTTTGACAAACTCGTACATCTATGTAACAACCCCCATTAATCAAAATACAGAACATTGCCCTGGCCAGTTTGGCTCAGCGGTTAGAGCGTCGGCCTGCGGTCCGGAGAGACCCGGGTTCGGTTCCCGCTAAGGGCACGTACCTCGGTTGCAGTTTGTCCCCGGCCCTGGTTGGTCGTGCGGGTGGCAGCCACTCGATGTGTCCCTTCACGTCGATGTTTCTCTCTCTCTCTCCCTTCCTCTCTCTCCCTCCCACTCTATCTGTACAAAAAATGGAAAAATATCCTCAGGTGAGGATAAAAAAAAAAAAAAATACAGAACATTTCTATCAGCAAAACAATATTCCCTCGTGCCCCTGTTAGCCACTTCCTTCCTCTCCAGTCCAGGCCCTGGCAGCTCTGATCTGAATTCTGTTCCTAGGTCCTGCCTTTTCTGGAATGTCACACACACAAATGATACGGCGGGTCGCCTTTGCGTCTGGCTGTTTTCGCTTATCAAAATGCGCTCCGCATGCGTGAAGTCGCACCTCTCAGGAACTCATTGTTTATCGTTGACTAGTATCTCCCTGTGGGGCTGAACCAGCTGGTGAGCGTTTGAGTTGTTTCTAGTTTGGGACAATTATGAATAAAGCCACTATACGCATCTATGTATGTACATATATGTGGTGCGGACGTTTCTTTCCATTTCCCTCGGGTAGTGCCGTCACGTGGACAGTGTGTTTGACTCCGCAGAAACTGCTGCACTGTTCTTGCGAAGTGGTTGTACCATTTTTGCATCTTTGTCAAGACCTGACACTGTCAGTTTTCTTTTTAAGTTATTTTAATAGGTGTATGGTGATATCTCATTATGGTTTTTTAAAATATCTTTTTTTAATGTTTTTATTGATTTTTTTTTTTTTAGAAAGAGAGAAACATTGATGTGAGAGAGAAACATAGATCAGCTGCCTCTTGTATGCCCCCTAGTGGGGATCAAGCCCAAAATCTGGGCATGGACTCCGACTAGGAATCAAACTGGGACCTCTCAGTCCATGGGACAACACTCAATCCACTGAGCCACACAGGCCTGGCTCATTATGTTTTTAATTTATTTTTTCCTAATGCCTAATGATGTTGAACATCTTTCATTGTTTCTTTGCCTGTTGCATACATATCTCCTTTTGCAAAGTATTAGTTCAAATCTTTTGTCTATTTTCAATTGTTTATCATTATCATTATTATTAAGTTGTGAGGATTCTTTATACATTCTGGATACAAGTCCTTTATCATATATATGATTTGCAAGTATTTTTCTAGTCTCTAGCTTGTTTTATCACTTCCTCAACAGTGTCTTCAATGAGTAGAAGATTTAATGCTGATAAAGTCCAATTTATTGATTTTTTTTGGTTTATAATTTGTGTTTTTTGTGGCCTACTAAGAAAAATTTGCCTATCTGAAAGTCACAAACGTTTTCTGCTAGAAGTTTTATAGTTTCTGGTTTTACATGTTGGTCTATAATCCATTTCAAGTTAAGTTTGCATATGGTGCAAAATATGATTTGTGTTTCTTTTCTTTTCCTTTTGGCCTATGGATGTCCAATTTACCAACATCATTTGTTGAGAAGACTATCGTTTCTCCTTTAAATCACCTTAGTATCTTGATCACAAATCAATTGACGTGTAGATCTATTTCTTGGTTGTCCATTATGTTCTATTGATCTCTGTGTCTACCTTTCCACCAATACCACACCATCTTGACTACTCACTGTAGTTTTATGACAAGCCTTTAAATCAGGTAGTGTGGGTAATCCAACTACATTGTTCTTTTTCAAAATGGTTTTGACTGTCCTGTACTTTGCCTTGCCATGTAAATTTTAGAATCAGCTTGTCAATTTCTTCCCCCCACCACCAAAATAGCCTCTGGACTTTTGCTTGGAATTATTGAATCCATAGCTCAGTTTGGAGATGTGGAGGGTGGGGACTAGACATTTTAACACTACTGAGTCTTTGACCATGCCCACAGGTTAGCTCTTCATGTACTCATTTCTTCTATAGTTTTATCAATGTTCTATGGTTTTCAGCATACAAATCTTGCACGTATCTTGTTAAATTTCTACCTAAGTATTTCATGATTTTGTTACTATTTTAAATGTTTCCAGCTTTGTAGATCTCAGGCAGAAGCAGAACTCAAAGTCCCATGAACCTTGCTCTGGCTGGTGTGCCTTAGTTGGTTGGAGCGTCATCATGCACACCAAAAGGGTGTGGGTTTGATCCCCGGTCAGGGCACGTAAGAGAGGCAACCTATCGATGTTTCTCTTGTCTCTTTCTCTCCCCCCGCCCCTCTTGCTTTCTCTAAATTTATTTTATTTATTTATTTATTTTATGGTTGGGGGTCACCACAACATGAGGAACCGTATTAAAGGGTCATGGCATTAGGAAGGTTGAGAACCACTGCTTTATTTTATTTTATTTTATTTTATTTTATTTTATTTTATTTTATTTTTTATCATCCTCACCGAGGACATTTTTCCATTTTTTTGTTCAGGTAGAGTGGGAGGGAGAGAGAGGAACAGAGAGAGAGAGAAACATCGATGTGAAAGGGACACATCGAGTGGTTGCCACCCTCACAACCAACCAGGGCCGGGGACAAACTGCAACCGAAGTACATACCCTTAGCGGGAACCGAACCCGGGTCTCTCTGGACAGCAGGTCGACGCTCTAACCGCTGAGCCAAACCGGCCAGGGCTAAATTTATTTTTTTTTTAAAAAAAAAACATACTCCCACAACTCCCCCACCACCCACCACCACTACCAAACTAAGAAAATAAATAAATAAAACATACCCTCGGGCGAGGATTTTTTAAACAGTCTCATAACTCTTTACCTTACTGTCTGGCCCATTTATGCTCCATTCTGACCCCTTCTTCTCACTTCCAGTCTACCTTAGAAAGGGTCCTGTGCATATCCGATGTTCTCATCCTTATCTTGTGCCAGTTTGTGGTTCAAGTCCCTGCTCTTCATATCTGAGCATGAGAACATTTGTACAGCAACCCCCACTCCCAAGCACAGGGTCCTTCCCTTCCCTTTGCTAAATCTGAGTTCCGAGATACCTGCTACCTCACATTTGGCACAGAGATCTCTTGCCCTCTATCACTATATCTGAACATCAACGTTCACCAATGCGTGCATTTAACCACATGGTCACGGTGCTAAGGAACTCAGGTCTCTTGGAGACCCAGGACCCCCAGGTATGATGGTGACCACTGCAGAAGCCTCAGAACCAGCAGCATGACTGGTACATGAAGTAGTCCTGATGTCTAACTTTGGCCGAAATGTCACAGCTGCCTTGTCAGAGTGCCTGGTAAACTTCCGATAGCAGCTGTTCCAAATTGTCACCCTCCTCAAACACATCCTCCTATCCACCCCCTCCTTCTCTAAGAATAAATCAAGTCTGTCGTCTGTGGGCATCCTCGCCCTCTTTCAGACCCTCCCTTACGCTCTCATCCCCAGTGTAACCAACCTCAGCAGCTGAAGTACGAGAGTGTGGTCAGGACCATGGTCAGCGCCCCGGGAAGGGTGAGGCAGGATCTACTGGCATGGGAAACACTCAAACAATCAGGACACCCCATCAGCCAACCTGGGAAAGCCCCTCCCAGCCTGCCTGAGAGGTGGGCTTGAGGGATTCACTGGTGGTGCCCACCGACCCTTGGCCACCAGCCTCAAACATCAGAGTCCACAAATGTCATCTTC